TTGACGAAAATGTGATGATAATGTACACGTAATAGGCACGAAATGCAATTATCGCGGATAAAAGCGAAAGGGATATCGAGGGTGACTTATCGAAATCCGCGACTTGTCGGCGTATAAGGCGGAATTGCTCGGTACGTAACATCGGCGTGTAATTGTGTCTTCCGTACGATAGATCGATTATCCATCGCCTATTCCCCGCCGATATATCGTTGTAATATTCAAGTATTCGCTTGCATTTATTGCTGCGTCGGCTATACGAATCGCGATATGAAATTCCGCAATCCTATTACAATCGCGACGGACTGTTGCGTTACAATATTCTCTCGCAGTGAAACGCAATCTCTTTAGCGATAATTCCCGATAATTGCCTCTCGTGGCTTGTCGCTTTTGTTGCCTTCGAGTAACACTTTCACTGAAACCGAGAACGGCTGCAGTTACAAACTTTCCCCAAACGTGTCATCGCGCTCCGCAGATCTTTTCTTCCTCGCTTTTCGGCGCACGGGATTATCGGATCGATCTAATCGCCACGCTCATCCTTGGGAAACGACCGCGCATCCGGCGTACCCTCTTTCCACACCGCGAGTCCTCGAAACGAATTCGCGCGACGGCGTTTGTTAACCGCTAAATTAAGTACAGAGAGTACCTACTCGCGCTTGCGGCACGGCTAGATAGAGATCTTAATCCACCGGGCTAAAACCCGGCAACCTCGTGTAGGATTGATTTCGTACTGCATGTGTACGTACCATGTAAGCCGACGGTCGCGCAAATGGGTCAGGTCACGCGGCACTGCGAAGAAAAGGGGGTGACCATCAATTAGACAGCCCCTAATAGCTCTTTCGCGCTGACTACAATCCGCCGTCGCGTTTTGTCTACTTGAGCGCCGATAAATGGCGAGCTGTCCTTATTTTTGAGCCGATCCGTATTAATGACGCGTACACGGGCGTAACAAAGAGGGAGAGAGTCGTTTGTCGTTAAGGCCGGTACTTTTCGCGCTCACTTCCTTTCCACGGAGATGTTCGGAAAATCAGCAATGCATTAAGCGACGTGCACGATAATCAACCGTTTGCGTTGGAATTAATAGCAATACAACTGGAATTACGATACGGAGACCTAAATGATATATCGCACGTCGGCTTTAAGCAACATCCTTCGGAGATTTTCCTCGTCTCTGCCGCGCAATCGTTCACGCACTGTTCGCGCGCGCGCGAGCACTTTCCGCGTGATTCGTTATCCGTTTATTTGCGCAAGATTGATGTGCAAGATCCCCGTCCGGGAGAACCGCGAACTAAGAACTCGCCGCGGATACGTATAAAGGTGGAAATATCGCTGTAGCAAAACGGCTAAATTTTCAGCGCGGGGCGAACGGAAATTCGAGCCGCGCTGAAATTGCGTCGGGCGCATCCGTTAATCCGAGCTGTTTAGAAAATGGAAACGTTATCGCGTTTTCTCCATGCTTTTGTTAATACCGTCGCATGCGCGACGACTGTGGAGGGGGCTACGGTAAAATAATGTCCTCCGCGTCTTCCGTGCGCGCGAGCGCTTCGATCTATAAATGCACACGGGTGGCCGCGCGAGTAAGGGAGAAATATCACGGAATGGACTCGCATTTATTCTCCGGCTCTCCCCGGACTGGAACCAAGCGGTGCGCTTTCACGCGTCGTATCGCGCGCACTTAATCTCCCCCCCTCCCCCTCCCGGCGTACTGATCGCGCTGATATATCGCGATTGAGAGGCGTACCTTGTTATCCTTTCCCACACATCTGACGTTCCATGAGTGAAATGAGATTTTACTCTGTCCTGCACCGTGCCCCCGTTTGTTTAGTCGCGGTTCGGCGTAATAATCGGAAATACGAGTATATTATACGATTGGTTCAGCGTTCGTGGAATCAATCGTCAATTTAGTCGACCCGAGAACCCAGGTGCAAGGAATGTCCCTGGTACAGAATCCGTTCGTGCGCGGCCGGTCGGGTCGAGATGGCCCATCATATATCTGACGATAATTGCAAACAAGTGAAGCCAGGATTCACTTTCAGACATGGATTCCTTATTGATTAACTTGTGTAACAAACAATTGTGATAATTTATGGTCTTCAAATTTCAAAATTGAAAGGCTCAACGTGACAATTAGTAAAAAATTCATGTTATAATCAGCTAAATTTTAGCTCTCACTTTTTCAGCAAAATTTCTTTCGGTCCAGCAATAGTTCTTTCGGTTATAAATGGTTAAGTTAAAATAGTGTGGATATGATAATAAACACTTTGCACTTGTGAGCTTCGTGTATTTGTATATAAGAGAGTTTATATATATATATATATATATATCCACACTATTTTATATATATATATATGGTGGCAAACATATGCGCGTTATAAAATATTCAGTCGCAGGTACGTGGCGACGTGAAAAAGATTGGATATATGAGAATATGTATTTATAAGACACACGAGAAACGTGCTCGGTAAAAATGTGCAAACGTATTTTTCAGCCGGCAAACACTCGGCGAGTCTATTTGCCGGGCCTTTTGGTGCAGAAAATAAATTGAAGTCTGATTTAACGCCCGGCGCAGGTTAAAACGAGACGTTTCAGTGGCAAATCACGAGGTATATATTTCGAATTAACGTCGCAAGGAACACAATTGAGTGTAATGTGGGTGCTAAACGTTTGCGAACGGTTAACGGACGATAACACTAATAATTTAGGACGGAAAGTATGGCATTGACTTCCTACGCGCTTCCAATCTTCACCGAATTATTTATTAACGGACGGCTATAGCCTGAGGCACGACCCAGCGATCACGTTCGTCATCGATAACTATTTTTGGACGCATCCCGAACACAGTGAAAATTTAAACCAATCAAGCTCTAAGGGCGCTCGATACAAAATTCCTGCACGATGAGTTTTTATCGGGCTTGCATAGCGCGCATAGATGCAACATCGCTAAAACCTTTGCATATTTGTCAGGGAGGGAGGCCGGATATCGCCATATAAAATATTGTTCGTTAATCGACGGTTATGTCCTCTTGAATTCTATAAATATATGCGGGAAAAAAAATCGAGGAGTATAGAGAGTGTAAGTGTAACATGCGGGGCGTGCGTTAAGAGCTTTTTACCGTCACGATCGATATGACAAGGCATGCTGTAGATCTCTAACAAACAAGCTCTCAATATAGCAAGGCTTTACTACATCTATATAACTACGCATTGTCATTCATGAAACTGTTGTTGTCAAATCGACATGCATCTTCTGAAAATGTGGACCGTCCTTATTTCACGCACATTTCAGACGTCGTTGCGACATCAATGAGCGAGCGATGCCGCCTAAAGTTTTGACAATATGCGGCTAGAAACGAATCTGCAAAGAAGCTCCCCAAGTAATGCGCTTCCGCGCGAGATTCTTTTTTTTTTTTCGTCTGAATATCCAGCCAGTTTTGAATATCGTCTTTCACACACGAATAAAATAAGTGAAATTTTTTTGGATTAGAGGGACGGTGCTTTTCGATTTATGCATGAATATATAAACATTGTGCGAAAATTATAAACGATTTTACACGATCATTCAACACAGAGAAATTCCTTCTTAAGCGACGATATTAGGGAATCGCACATGCCAATAAATGGTAAATTTAAATTATTGTCACGTCATCTAAACACATATAATTCACTAACAATTGTGAAAATTATTACATGTTTACTGTACTAAAAATTGCGACTCTATTAGACGAGTTAGCCGCGGGGTCTTTTGCCATTTGAAATTTACGGCGTTTAAGTTACGAGAGCGAAATTTTATTCCGCGTAGTAGAATTTCCGAAGAGATTAAAGCCTTGAGCATGGCACATATATATTAGTCCGTCTGTCTGCTACGCAAAGCCGCGGGGTTTTTTTTATTAAACGCTCACATAATTCTACATTTAAAAACACTTTATCCGTCGGAGCTGTCGGAACTTCTGCGACTTGTCTCGGAGAGATATGTCGTCGGAACGAGCCTCCGAAAGCCCGTCGGTTCTGCCTGCCCGCGGCATTGCTATCACAAAAGCTATCAATTGCACAAACATGCAATAAATAAAACGCTATCAAATAGCATATGCTATTGTGATATCACAATTATGTGACTGTATTTTCCAAGATTCTCGCGATTTTGTATGCTAATAGATCGATATGCGTTTGAAATTTCACGCTGCAGCGTAATTACATCACAGACAACAATAGCTGTTATCTACGCTAATTAATGGTTGAAATAATGATCAAAAACCTCGTTAAGTCGCTACGAAATTGTGTTGCTATAGCGAAAAATTTCGTCGGGTTCTGCGTTTCGCCGTGCTCCGCTGCGAGAGATTCTTAATTGGCTTCGAGCCTCGATCGAGCATTTATTAATATTCGTTTTGAAATTCCGTGGGAATTTTGTTATCGCCGTGAAGTTCCTACGCGTTCGCGTTTGCAACCACTTCAATATAATTTTTTAAATAATTGGTTCATTTCTTTTTGTTTATTTATTTTGGTAATCAAGAATTCGATATCTCATCTTTGAATAAGTACTTGGAAATAAAGCTCTATTATTAAAAAAAAAAAACAAAGATGTATCTTCTCCTACAAAACAAATTCACATTTCTCGAAATACCGAGAAGCTCATGAAAAATGCATGAATCTATCTCGCAAGTGCTATCAAAAGCAACGTCCGCCATATCAATTTAATCGTGCGGGTCAGACTTTTGTGAAATTACCAGCGGAATCGCGACATCCGTTTTATCAAGGGCTTCCGACCGAATGTGATATCGGGGTAACGTGAGTACGTACTTGATATCGCGGCGCGCGCGTATTATAATAACGGAGCGATATGGTGTGCACGCGCGCGCGCGTGAAACGCAGAACGAGCGCGAGTTAAAAACAGAACGACACGGAAGCTGCAGGCACTAGAGAAAAACGAGTAACCGAGTCGTGCTTATAACAGAAAAGCGCAAGCTGCAAGCTGCAAGCGAGAGTGATAGAGTGTGGAGTTGGTATACCGGCGCGGGACTGACCGTCGTGGAGCGGATCGATCGTGTGGATCATAAGCTGCAGCAGGCCGTGCCGGAACTTGGCGTGGCTCTCCCGCGAGTGAGAGGGGGCCCCGTGGTGGTGGGCCTGCTCGCATCCCTGCCCGGAGCCGGTGCCGACGCCGCTGCTGCCGCCGACGCCGCTGCTGCTGCCAACCCTGCTGCTGCATCCGGCCTCCCCGGGCGCCGGGATGCTCCCGCACGCACCCGACGTACCGCCCACGCTCGTCTCGCTATTGTTGATCGCGTTCGGATGCTGCTGGAACACACACAACGCCATTTCGGCCAGTTCAGTCAAAGGTATCACCATTGCCAATACGCGTTTGTGTATATCGCTCGAGGCGTGTGACGAGATGACTACTATTACTCTGTGGGGGTTCGAGGGTGGACAAAATTGTCCGACATGGATGAGAACGGAAATCCTTTTTTTTTTTTTAGGGATGTCCTGCATGCAGGAGGGCTGCATTCGATCTTCTCCGCAAGGAAAATTCATGAATACTACATTGTTCCATAGTTCTATTGTTTTCGGTGGGAAAGGAATGTGGAAAACACAGAAATCCATGGAAAAATATTCTGAATAATTTTTGCATTATGCTTTGCATTGATCGCTTCGCGATCTATTTTTTCAAATTATAGTTTTCGATTGTTATACATCCTTCTTTTATTGCAATTCATTTTTGTATAGATTATATGGTTGCGATTAACTCGCGAAGATCAGAAATGATTACGTTTTCTTCTAATCAGAATCATTAATGTGTGTACGACCTTTTTATCTCTTCCGGAATATAAATTGATTTGTGTGCGCACTGAACAGAGAAGATTGTTAGAATTAAAATTCATGTTTACAATTAGTAACCATGATATTGTGGTCAGAACGTTAATTGACGGTTTTCAGCCCGCGTGGTAACAAATGCCACCGCAATATTTAAGCATCACGCGGTTGTGTACTTAGGCCAAGTGGTAGCACATTACGCCGCCTCTAAGTTTACTTATTCATGAATAAAGTGGTTTGATTATTTCGCAAAACGCGTTGCAATTACTTTCCATTCTGAACGTATAGAATCGGAGCGTAGGGCATTACTTCCACTTTACAAACCCCTTAAAGATGCAGAAAGAGTTAATTTCAGGTTGAGATATTTAGATTGCACGCTTTCCTTCGTAGACGTTCGTTGTCGCGCAACGATATTATTTGCGGGACACCTCTTTCGCAGGGCTGCGTTCAGGAACTTCGCCCAGGTGCATCTAGATATCATTTTATCCTTGTTCAACACTCGGCAAATAACAAAGATAAAATGATACCGCGAATTCCTGAACGCACCCCAGGAGGATGAAAGATAGAAAGTAAATATCTTCTCTCGTTCTCGACGGATTCACGCGAGCGTACGTCATTTTCACAGACGTTACTTCACGCGAGCCGCGCGTCAGAACGGTATCGACAATGCACGCAGTTCGAACGAATAAAATAATGACGTGGTTGTGTACGTGTGTGTTATCGTCCGTCGGGTTCATCGAAATGCCACAACGTTTTTCCAATTACCCTTCTTCTCCCCCCAGGGGAGGTATCGGCGCCCAACTTTTCCGACGGAATTTCCAGCGTCGGACGACGACGGCGAAATAAACTCGAGGAATGATGTTCGACGCGCATTAGTGAATCGTGTCCCCGTAATAACTTCCACGGCGCAGCGAAATAATGATATTATTCCGGGGCGACATTGTGCCAGTCGCGGTTGTCGCATGTTACAACTTGTAAACGTTTTACGGAATAAGCTCGCTGCCACTGACAGCGCGATACGTTAACTATCGTAAATATACGAAACGAGTTATGACGTGCAAACGTATAAGATTTGGCGAGAGGTATTTTGGAGAACGTCGTGTTCCACCACAATCAAATCACCTTCCACAAACATTTAGATCGATTTTCTCTTTACTGAAACGCGTTCTTTGATTTTCAACGGAAAAGTAAAATTGATCTCAGCGATTATCGCGTGTGTAATAATATCGAACGCGGAAATATACACGTGAATCGATTATACTTTGAGGAAAAGAGTTTTAGCCTGTGGTCGTAATTTCATTAAATAATGAAACCTGATTTAGCTTGTAGTATTCTAAGCGACGAAGATGTTACGTGAAAATTGCGTTAGCCGATAACGATATTACGGACATGTCCTGCGCCCAGAATATATTGTGTGATTTTGACGCCGCTTCACGGAATCTCATAATGCGTAATCGAATCGGGCGGCCTTGCTGTAATAATCTGAAACGTGATAACCCTGTTTGAGGGATTGTCCCGACGTTAAATCTAAAACGGTTGCCGATTCGCCTGAGTGAATGCGAACAAAATGATAAAAATTGATGCGCGAGGAGACAAGAACGCGCGCTGCGTTCCAAAAGAAAAGAGAGAGAGAGAGAGAGGGAGAAAAGAAACATTTTGCGCGGATGTGAAATATTCGCAGCGCGACGCCTTGCTTATTGTGTATACGCTTTGTATTTTAAGTTACAATTGACATTGTTATCTGCGAGCGAGTCTCTGTGTGCCGTAGGACGTAGGAGGTGGCTTTTCCAGCCGGGCAAATGCATGTGGGCTTTGCCATCAATGGCGGATACGAGTGCCGATGATACGAGAATGCAGATAGTTGCGCGAGTCTAAAGCGGCAAAGCCGGAGAGACCTCTCTTCGCAGAGTCGCCGTGCTGCTGCGACAGCGGAGATACGGGTTTCTGTCGTTGTCACTCTCTGTTGTCGGGGTAATGAACTTTCTAATTACCAGGGGCGCCTGCGGTGCCCGATTTGAATTTCGAGACGGCGCGGCGGCGTGGCGTGTGGCCGCAGAAATTACGGCGCGGGATTGTCGTGCGCCGCGGCTCTGCGACAACTTTCGGAGGATTAGCACTCAAATATTTAAAGGAGATTACAATTATGCGCCGCATATCTATTATTAAATCGAGGGAGGGAGGGGGGATTATTAAATCCTACGTAACTCTGAGCCACCTTTAGAAATTGACAACGCTTCGCGAATTCTAATGATAACGATTTACCGGGAGAGATAATCATAGAGTAATTATACGCAAAATAACGGCTTGCACGCGCGTTTCGTGCGTAAGCTGATTATCTATGGGCTTCTTTATTCGCGAGACATGCGCATATTAATTAATAGCACGATATCGCTCTATATATGATTGCTACAATTACTAGGATTGATGTAATTATTATAAACTGCTGATACTTTCTATTTGTTAATCTTTGGTTCATTTGACACAAATCATAATTCATCCACTGTAAATTATCGCTGTTCTAAACGTCAATCGCACGCCCGAATAAATATGCAAACTTGCTATAAAATTATATAATAATAAAACGTTTTTCACACGCAATAACAATATTAACTTTCCTCATTCACACATTATTATTAATGAATGAATATATATTGCATTTCTATATATATAATGGCATATATAAATGGCATACATTTGGATATATATAATACTTATAGTTGCTGATTAGTCGAGTACATCGAATAGTTCGCAACTCATTAGCGCATAGCGTTACCAGGCTGATTATCACTCCGCTAATTGCCAACTTTACCCATTAGCTGTTTGATTTTTATGCCCGGCTTGTGATAAGATTATCTATAATGCTACCGCGCGCAACGTGAATTATCATTCTCGCGGGAAGAGGAATTAATAAGCGAAAGCCTTCGTGCGGTTGTAGCATGCTGTTATCTGACGAATTATTTAATAGTCTCGCGGGGGTGAAGCACGCGAACAACTTTCCTCGTATCTTTCTAATTAGATGATGCGATTTTTTTCGCAGCAAAGCCACACTGTTGTCCCGCACGCGTTTCCAGTGCAGTACAGGAAATAACTCGAGAGAGATTTGTCGATTTCCAAATGACAGAAACTCCACACGATTTATGCAAGCCGAGAGTTAATATTTTTAAAATATTCAGATTTCGAAAGTATTTCAATATTAAAATTATTTCATGTAGGTATTAATGGCCCGTAATTAATCGCCGTCCGAGTCGCGAAGCGGAGCCTTGTTTCGAAATCCCAGATACTTGATTGACGTCACATAAACGATTGCCACGGGAAGTCCGTACCATCTGCGCTGGTCTCGTAACTTCCTCGCTTCTAGAACTGCACTCAAAGGAAACTTGAGTCGACTTATCAAGTATTTCATCGGGTTAAAGAAAAGATCCGTCGATTCCGAAAACTTTCCACCTACATCTTGTCGATTCGCTTACATTTTTCATCAATTCTCGGTGTGACTTACGTTACAACGAGATAACTCGCTTTTCCACGCGCTGTCTGTGCATTGAAATCGTTCCGCGAGTTTCTTCTTTGCAATGCTCAACGTAAAAAAAAAAGAAGCCGCGAAGAGACGCAAGCAGATTTCGAAGATATCGGGCGAAGAAAGGCTCGTCCTTGAATTTTCGCTGACTGTTCTTCCGATGGTATTTGCTCTCATTCTTCAATATTTTATAACGTCAAGTAGGCCGGAAGACTCCTGCGGTAATATCGAGTCGAACGGCAGGCAGGAGAGTGCGGACGCAGCACACAAAGGTATCTGAAGTCTTCGGGGGATCTCGCCGTTGAAAATTGGCACGGCTCCTATCTTTCTCTCGGCGTATACTTTCGCCGATGTCTGCATCCATGTACAAAGGTCTCTTTATATTTCAAACGATTATCTTGTCAGTTGCAAAATTTGCGTTTTAGCATTAGTTCGAACACAACTTTCGGCCGTTCCGTTTATGTTAATTGTTCGTTATTGCACGAAACACAGAGCCATTCAGTCATATCTTGTCAATGAGATTTTACTATCAATGAGACTTACTACTTTTGATTATCTTCTTTTTTTAATATCAATTTAGTATACTTATATTTAATAGAATAATGCTATTTATATACTCAAGTTGTAAAAGAAAATAATTTTAATACTCTGTACATATAAATATAAAGAAATATTAATTATCCAGCAAAGAAATACGAGTAATACGTTCAAAGAGAAAGACTGACCGAATGCATGAGAATCGCTAATGTCCAAGCGATCACTCAACGTTGAGCAAATTGCAAGCCGCCTAACGCGATCACGAAGCCTGACAAATGTAAAACCTGTGCGAATGTCACTTAACTGGAAGTGAGAATTTACGAGAGACACGCAATCGATTTACCAAATGGAAATCCATCCGTCGTGACGATCGATGGCATTTCGCGCGTACGAGGTAACATCGAGTCACAGAAATCGACGAACTTTTCACAGCGAA